GAGTTGAATCCGTCGATTGACCTCTCGGTCGAAGTTGCAGTTACGTAGTCGGACTATTTGTTCCAGGTAAACATACTCGTTAACAACTTCGAGCATAGTGCTCGACATGGACATTAAACATGATCTTTGTTTTGTCCATGTTCATCTTAAGACCTATCCGTTGGGAGACCTACAGCAATTATTCCATAAGGACCATATTTTCACGAAATGACTACTTTATGATGTAATTACGGTCAATTCTACGATCTGGTCACGTCATATATAAAATTTCTTTGATTAAATTATAAGTATAACGAAAACTTTGCAATTATTGCAAGCAGATCATTTTTAATCAGTTAACATATATATTAGTAATTATTTATATTTTTATTTTATTAGTAATTGAGCTAAAAACCATATCAATCGTTTGATAGACGTCACAGTTATCTATTTACATTATTACACTTTTAAAATGAAACAACGAAAAATCTAAAAAATATAACGTTATGATTATTAAATAGTTTTATGAATATAATTATTAAAAGTTATAAATGTAAGTTATTTATATTATTAAATTTATTAGTACCTGATGGTAAAATATACTACATTTCCATTTGATGATAGATGGCGCTGTTTTAATAATAAAATCTTAAATTGTCGGCGGAGTTTCAAATCATTTTGCAAAGGCTAAACTTACTTTAAACTTTATTTATAAATATGGAATTAATTTGAAAAACGCCCATTATACCGCCTGTTAATTAACATAATCATATATGATAGAAAATTAATATCCAAGTAAAAAAAAAATGAATATACTTAACCTTCATTTTTGAAGTTCTGCAATCGGATAAAAAGTAGCCTATAATTTGCCCGGGTTACTAACTACCTACATACAAAATTTCATGGAAATCGGGCATGTAGTTTTTTTTTGTGAATCCTGAATACACAGATATACCGACCGACAGACAGACATACTGACGAAAATTCTAAAAAAAAACTAATTTGGCTTCAATAACCTTTATTTAGTTAGTCCCCTCGATTTGTTTTTTCCAGAATATATTAGAATTACAGACACGACTTTTCTACAGATTTATTATATGTATAGATTAAGAATTAAAAATATTTCACTTACTGAGAAACTAAATTTAACAAAGTATTATTATTAAGTATTATATTGAGCGTACAGTTAAATATTATATATAAGGTGCAATGTAGGTAGTCTTCAAATTAACAAATTAATAACACCAACCGAGCCAACACGGATCTTGTGTAAGAAATGCTACTCATACTGGATAGATGTAGAATCAATTACAGCGTCCGATAATGCTTATTAACTTTGTTTGTGTAAGCTTAATAAATATGCATAAAGCAATTTTTTGAAATGAGATATAATTTTTGCTCTTTTTATATTTATCGGTAATTTATTATACAAGTTGACAGCTTCAAATACAATGTTCTTCTTTCCATAGTGACGTGTCTCGAAATAGTTTAGTAGTTGCATGGCGTAATTTTATTTTTAGTATTTTTTGTTTTAATAAAGTTTAATGATATATGAATGTCTTTATTGATTATTTTATGTACCTATTAATATACAGGTATAATATAAAATAAGTACAAATTTGATTTTGCTGTAGTCCCACAAATTTCGATTAAATAGAATATGTGGTTTAACTAGAAAATTATTAATAATGTTTCAAGCGTTTCTAGGAAGACATTTAGTTAAACCATGAGGAGTTCCTGAAGGTGATCTAATTTAGGTAGTTATCTAAAATGAGACCGAGATATTTCTCTTTATGTTTCCTTTAAATTAGTTGATCATTTACTTTTAGTTGAATATTAGAAGTGTTTTTTTTTATTTTAGGGACAAATATATTATAAATCGTTGTGATAGTATCTATAGTGAGAAGATTTGATTGAAACTATTCATTTAACAACAATAGATTTATATCATTATGGGCATGTGGAAACATAACTTTAATCGAGTGGCCGAAGAAGGACACACTTCCACAATGAACACAATCTGCGTAAAGCGAAATGTCGCCTATAAGGCCAATTTTGCTTATATTGTTGATATAAACGAGAAATAAAAGTCCTGAAATTGAGCCCTGAGTAACGTAGCGTAAGTAACAAGGTTAGTATTATTTTGATGTTCACTTATAACTATAACTAATTGCTTACGATTTAGTAAATATGATATCAAAACTTCAAGTGCTTTGCGTTTGATACCTAATACGAGATAATTTTTGAAGTAATAAATTGTGACTAATCGTGTCAAAAGCTTTTTAAGATCTACAAAAATTACGGCCACGTGTTTATGATCAATTTTATTTTTAATTTTTGTTACTAAATCTACAGTAGTCGAAAGTGTGTTCGATTGAGGTCTAAATCCATATTGTTTCTGATAAAAAAGTTTTATGAATAAAGAAATGTTCGATGACGAACGATTTTAAAAAAAAATTCTTAAAAAAATTTGAAATCTCTGGAGAATGGACGGTAGTTACATGGATCGGTGCTTTCTTCCAGATTTATGAATTGGGATAACTTTAGCAAGTTTTACGCCATTTGGAAATATGACGAGTTAAAAACATAAGTTAATGCAATATGTGAGTTCAGTAGCAAATATATTTTTAACACATTTTATGGTTATTGTACTGATCCCACCGATGCTAGATATTCTCGCGGTATTATGAAATATTCTGCAACATTTTATTCTTGCTATTTTACTCTCACGCTATTATTTTTGCTTAATTGACTTAACAACATTTCCAGTTGTATAACCTTAATAACCCATATCAACAACTCAAAAGTGTTGTTACAGCCTATTTTTTATTTATTTATTTATTTGGTTCACCAACAAATGTTACACTAATATGCTTAATTCTAAGACAGTAATATAAACTAAGTGCACATTCAAAAATAGGTAAACGCCGCATGTTTAGTGCTCACAGCATTTCCTACAAGCCTTTACATAATAGTTAAAAATATACAATACACAATTAAAAAAAATTAATACAAAAACATTGGTACTATTTACATCCTATATACATCCCATCGCTAGATAAAAGCGACAAAAAGATCCCCCGCCCTCAACAATATAGTAGCGGAATTAAATAAGAGATCAACCCTGTGATAGCACTAGTCCTGGAGGATCCTACACATAAGCAACAGACCACGGCGCCCTAGCCGCGCTAGCCGTAAATTTTGCAACATCAGAGGACACGTACGCGTCCACTCCCGTTGATATTTCGTATCTTTCCCACTCTGCCTCGTTATTCTAGTGGTCGTAAGCGTGACTGCTGGGTATGAGGACAAAAAAAATGTTGTCGAGTTTTTCCGTCAAGAAGTTTTCACTAACTGCCCGGAGTCACGAAGTTGCTGATATACTTCCCCCCTTTGCTTCGGAACGCACGCAACTCCGTTAGTCCTGTGTTTAATCTCTCTCCGTATCCTCCAGTCTCCTGTCCCATCGGACTATGAGAGTGAGGAAATAGAGAGTGCATCTGTGTTGCGCATATGCTTGGGCTCTATAATCCTGTCCCGCGACGATGTCTAGTCTACGTTGGGACTGGCCGCCGTGACCGAAATTCGGTCTGGAGGACATCATTATTATTTCACCCTGAAATACAAATAAGAACACTCCTTTGTGCATCGGGCCAGAGTATTTTATAAGATAGGGAGGATAGTCAGGTCCTTCAAAAAAGCTATTGCCATGGAAAAGTCAAAGCAAAGCAAAATTAGCTAGAAACTAGTTCGCCTTCCTTCGGGAACCCATACATTCTGGTATATCGGCTGTTGAAAGGAATTTCTGTTAGCCAGGACGACTCACTAGTTCAATTTTGGCTGATGAAGTGTGCTCCAGAGTTGACATCTGCTCCTACGTATCTTTTCTGGTACTCTTATTCTACGGTCGTTGTTTCAAGGTCTCGGAAGACAGCTTTTGTGCACCCGATGTCACAAGAGATAACTATGCTCTCTATGACTTTCCATTGACTCCAAAACCACTAGGTAGCATTTTGCAGCACTAGCCCACATATGTCAACTATACACCTTGCACAACCGTACTTGCGCTTTATATATTGTAAGAAATGGGACCCAATATGAAGTATTGCCGCATCTTTGCAAAGAGATCCAACTTTGTTGCAGCTGCCTTGTATCTACTACGGGGAGTGCTCAAAGAAATTTTTCCGACTAATTCAAGTCAAAATTCGCAATACCATGCATACATTCTGGATGCTTGACGGTCAATCACTTGCAGAATTGCAGGTTCATTGGATAGTGTTGCAGTTGTGAATCAGGTGAGTCGCGTCGTCGATGTTTGGCTCTGGTTCTATAACAAAAACATACGCTTCCGTAAGAAATAAAACGAAACAGGGTCCTCCTACTACATCCGTCGACTCCCAGCATGTCTTATCAGGTTGTCACTTCATCCAGTGGGGGCCACTCCAGTCTTTCTTTACACGTATATTCCTGTTTACGTTAGAGGTTATAATATTTATTTACGAAAGTTATATATGAAAAAAAGATGAATTGTGTGAGCTGTATTTATTTATGCCCTAATAGCTCTAAGTCTTTCCATGGTACTTTCTATGACATAAGTAAAATTAGTCAGTGCATGGGGCATGACGCGTTAAGGACAAAATAACAGTGCGCATTCCTCCAAGCACGTGCTGTTTGTAAATACACTGATGGCAAAGTGGGGTAACAGCTCAGGGATGTCGAAAATCGCGCCCGAATATAACACATTGCCTCTTGCTTTCACTTCAAACAAAGTACGGTGCGCGCCCGAACGCCCATTGAACACAACGCGCCTATTTTACGTTCGGAGCCGCACAAAAGCGGTCGCGGGAAATAAAAAAAAATATTTCATACTACATACATAAATATAAACGAGTTTGGAACCTTAAAATAAAAAGGACAAATTTTCATCCAGTGTTCGCCGCTTGTGAAACTGTTGGAAAATAATGCAAAGTTAATTAACGATTATAAAATAAATTAAAAGTTTGTTTACAATAAATATGAAAATGGCCGAAATTTATATGAAACCGCTTCTGGTATTATGCTTGACGATAATTTGTCACAAAGGGAAAGCTGCCGAAAATAATAAAAATCCCACTTTGCGTAAGTATTTCTATGTAATTTTGTAATTATATTAAATTAGGATTATGTTCCAAGAAATTATCTCACATAATTGTTTTAAAGTCAACTACATGGATCTACTGGACTAGTTTAATAATTTTGTAAATATTAGTAAGGATATGTTTTAACTGCAATATTTTAACAGCACAATAACATTTATATAGCGTGAAGACTTAATCTAGTTTTAAGGTATAAATGTATAATGGAGCGTTAACACTAACGATATGCATTTAATTGAACGTTTCTTGTAACAAGTTTATGTGTGATCTTGTAAAAGTTTGATCAGCTTTTCACCATAACCTCATATTTAAATATACGTAAAAATACTCTTCAGCGACCAAAAGCTTACAACCAACGTAATAAAATAAAAGCTCTTTACTTTTTTTGGGTGAAAATAAAGTTTCATTTGTCAACCGTATTTTTTCTTCTAATCTACTACCGTTTTAAAAGAAGTAGTTCTTTTAACCAAGAAAAAAATTATATTATAAATGTTGATTGAGATAATAGCGACCCGCCCCGCCCCGCTTGGCCAGGATCTATTAAAGATTTAATGAGGGTATAAACGAAAAATTTTAAGCCAAATAATCAACAAATTTTTCGTTTAAAAAAAACTCAAGCTTTTCTAATAAAATGTAACCTTGATCTTTCTTAGCAATGCTCTCTTATATTTGTGAAGTTTAATAACAGACAGGCAGACAAACATTTAAAAAAATGGTTATTCAAGTCTTAATGCCATGCAAATATACGCTTTCAGTTCCTTAAAAGACAGTTATTTCGAGATAATTTTTACTCGAGCCACTTTAATTTTAATTTAAGTATTGTTTCAATTTGTATTTCACAGTTAAATTTATGATTATTCAACATATTATAAACTTTAAAAATATTATAAAACTAAGTCTTTATATACAGATGTCTCCTCTCATTTCCAAAAGTTTTTTGAAGGAGGTACTCTTATTCCACAAAAAAAAATATTTCAAAACAAAATAAGTATACTATAATAATCGATAGAGTAACTGTTCAGTGTCACAGAAGTTCTCAGTTATCAGTCGCTTAACGATGGCGAAATGTACCTCCCAGTTTAGCAATGCGTACAGTAATGGCGAAACTTCTGAACTTTAACTTATTGCACACCAGTTATAATAGACATGATATCTTAACAAGACAATGGCGTGATTCCTTAAAAAGTAATTCCAAATACAATTGTATTATGTTTTATTGATTAATGTGATGCCACATAAAAAGTGACCATATAGCATATTTGGCGTTTTAGTACAAAATTTCCGGCTAAAATAAAATTATTAAATTTACTAGGTAAAATAATATTTACATTGCTTGCTCATGCTAGTTTTCAGGGGTGACAGTGCATCTGCATTTTCACTCTTAATAATAAAAAAATACGAGAGGTTTTTATTGGCATCTTCTTACATTCAGGTGGACTGTGCGCTCGTTTATCGCCTTTACTTCAATACATAAAACTATAAACTAATTTCGTTAATCATCAAATCTCTTCAAAATTTATGAAAATAGCGATCCGTTACTATTAGTTCCTCAGATACGTACGTTCGCTTCGTTACGTACGTTCCGAACTTTAAGGGGAAATATAATGTCAAATGGCTTAGCAAGATCCTTCGTTATGCCGAAAATATTGCAGCATTAATTTTGAAATAAATATATGGTAAAGTTGAGGATTATAGTTAGTGATTATGTTAGACGAAAACACGATTTCGTAAAATTTTATCGATAGAAAAAAAATCCAAAGTTACCTCCAAAATAAACAATAAACCGCTGTTATTCATAAAATACTTTAAATAAGATCATGAAACTTTGCATACTAACTGAACTAACTATAAAGCAGTGCTTATGTTATCTACTTTTTTTAAAATACCATTATTTTCACTGTAAAAAGAAATTACCTAAACTATCGGCGTCTTGAAGCTTGATTCCTGTCGCTCCGTTAGTATATATACAATGTACTCTGTGGTTAGTATCGCTTAGGCTTTTGAAGAGAGAAGTTGTGTCGCTTACGATCAGAATATACATTACGCAACAGTACGACGTAAAATTAAAATGGGAAATAACCGTGATAAAAATAAGAAGCGGCTGGCTTGGCTTTAAGAAACAGGCATAAATATGATAAACCTAATGAAATAAGTGTCTAACGACCTTTCTACTTACAGTATTAGTGATAACAAATATTTCGGTACATAGCATACGACGCGCGGGGAAGTGGGGGCGAAATTAGAATTTGTACGACTAACTATAGTATAAAAATAAACTAAACTTTAGCCTATTAACTTTGGTTTAGTTTAGTTCGTCGGCCGACACAATGTTCACTTGTAATAAACTTTGTTATCTTCTGCTGAATAATATATCTTATAAATTATACAAATAATCGCAGTTTTTTGGTGGTTTTGGGCCACTTAGGCCTTAACTTCCTAGCAATTGGTTACATCCAGTTTTGAATATGAATAAATCAAATAACTTAATTACACAATTAACAATTCAAATCATGTAAATTCTTTTATTATTCGTCCTTTTTTATTTGCCTCTACAATTTAGCGAAGAGCTTGCGGTAAAACGTAAGGTTGAAGAATATTACGTTTTTGAAAACGTTTCTAACCCATGAAACCCATTTACTACTATATGCTAAATGGGTACTATAATCACTAAATGCCATACTACACATACATATAATAAACCATATAAAAAAAACTAAAATGTTTAGGACTACTTCATGATAAAATGAATGTTATTCTTAAACTAAGCTCTCACATTGCACTTTAAGAAATTAATTATTAGACTTTTTTATAAATTAGACTTTACCATAATTTTATATATTGTAGGACATTCACACATAGAGGATTCAGGCGCCGCTGTCCAACTAAATTCTAAGGGGTTTGAAATAATTATAAAAGGCAGAGGGAGTATGAATTAAAAACACTTTCTCTTTTAATAATTTATTCACCGTCCACTTCATCATAAACAAATAAAATTATCTTCCAAAAACGGTGCAGGCGGTATTAAATTCTCTTGATGCCTTGCCCAGCTTAGGTACCATATTATGGTCATTACATGACAACAGCAACCTACGGTTCTTTTTCCTACCAAGCAATTACAATAATACTGTTTGATGGCCTCTCTACCGTTTAGAGAACTGTCAACTAAAATATATGTAAAATATGTTTTTGAGCTTACATGTCTCGATTTTATTCGACCTGTCAATAGCCAGCTAGAATGCTTAAATATTGACAGTTATCATAGTAGGTTGCTGTCCGTTTTTCGACACACTTCTATTTCATATTTCGTATGTGTTCTTAATAATAGGACTTAGTATTAAAATCGTTTACCTATTTCATCTGGCAGCATTGTTTAAAAATGAAAATAAAGGAATTCGGTATTATTTTTATTGAATACTTAATTTCTTATGCCATGATAAAACTGCTTAATATTTCACTATTAATTAACGCGCCCGTCTCTTTTGGTGCCTGGTTATATATACATATAGGTATAAAACTTTCCCGGAATATTCTTTTTGACATTTGGCATGGGATTTTACGAAATTCCACCCGGGTGCTACGGGGGCGTTAAATTTTTTTTTAAGTTTTAATCAAAATACCTCCTACATGTTTAAAATTTGGCGAAAGTAAAAATTTAAATAATTAATAAAATGGATAATAAAATTAATCTGTAGATGTTTTGTGTATATTTGATATTTGGTTCCCAGATAGTTTAAAAACTCAATTGGACCCGGTAGATGGCGCGGTTGTCGAGATCCAGACATCACCCGAGCAAATTTTTTTTGATTACATTATTACAACAAAGTAATTGCATTTAAACGTTTATATTTGAATAGTTGAGTGCTAATTTGCAATTGATGTATTCAATATCCAATCAACGCCACGGATGTTGTGTATTTTTCTCTCGTAGACATTATATTATACATCTATATACATTGCTTAGCTCCAGAGCTACCACAGCTCTTGTTGAACTTTAGAAAACTGAACTATTAAAAATTAATATATTTTAAAGTTCTCTCTCTCTCTCTCTCTCTCTCTCTCTAAACATAAAAAATACAGTTATAGGGATAATTAATACTTAAGTGAGCTTTAAATAAATCAACGACTACAAGTAAGGCCTTTATTGGTTTAAATTAATAATATTTATTACTATTCTGAATTATACATTTTGTCTGGTATCAGTAATACTTAATGAATTTATATTTATCTTCATCGCTTAAGTTTTTGCGACGTATTAAGTACGCAGTGATATACCACCTATGACAAACACTGGCGTATAATAATAAGTAAAAAAAAGAGTTATTTAAATCATTACTCTGTTATGATCCACTTAACTACTTACGAAACACCGGAAAGTCTAATTCATTAGAAAGGGTACGATAAGTTTGTTTGATATAACACCTTATTTTATTATAGCCTTGATCTTATCATTGCCTGTTTCTATGTAATAATACATGAATCATGTGATGTAACAAAGAAGTTATCAGAAGATGTGGAATTTAAAAAAATTATAAAGAGATAAGCTCATTTAGGTCTTTCATTTTTGTGATAATCGAATTCATGGTCGAAAATTAGGACAATTAAAAAAAATATAAACTGACACCCACACTAGGATTTTCTACTGTCTCTTGGAGGCGGTTTACAAACATAAATGGCACAAGGGAAAACAGCCAGACCAACAGATATTTGTAGGCTGTACAAATACTTATTCCGTGCGGGTTTCGAATCCGCGGCCCCCAGCGCTGTAATTTATTGCTAAACCACTGCGCCATGGAGCCGTCAAAAACTGTCACATACCATACTTTCTCTACGTATGGAGCATAAATCTTTATTAAAAACATTCTTATTTAATTGAATAGATCTTTAATACCATTTTAACGTTATAAATAAATTTAATAATAAACATTATAAAATCTACAATTAACAAAATCACTGTATTAGTAATGTGTCAATAAACCTTACTGT